AAACTGGTAAAAAGGCCTCAAAAGTTTCATAATCATTTAATCCATAGCACAATATGGGTGGAAAATTATAGAGGTAGAATTGAAGTGGCCAAGCCAGATTACCCAGTTGATACAGGGAGGTGTCAGTTCCCTGTGACAGAGGGCCACTATGCACTGTAAAAACATGCATAAGACAGAATAGCATACCCAGAGAGTATTGATGGCAGGAAGAGTGCTGCTAGAGTTGTACAGTCCTAAGTTTAAGTTTACTTTAAGGCCGTAAAGGCAGAAGCTGCAGCAAAAGTCTGCTTAATGCCTTAGTTGCACTCTATAGACCAATCAAGCCAACATTTTTGGTAAGTGTACTGCAAATTAGCCCCACACCCTTCTTGAGTGTCACTCCCATCCTCCTCCCATGCCTGCTCTGCTTTCTGCTCCCGGCCCTATCTGCCCCTGTGTTCCCTGTTCCCTCCTGGGTCTTCTTTGTGCCACCCACAGAGGCTGTGCCTTGTGGCACATGTGCTGCAGGTTGGCCACCCCTGCTATAGAGACTGCCACCCACTCTTTGAGGTCATGCTGGTCTTTTTCTGACCCAATGGCATGAAGGAGGCCATTCCCACTTTCTGAGACTGAACCCACCTTTCTTTGTTGACTTGGTACCATTTGTTGACAGGCAGCTCTGTGTATGGAGTATTAAAAGCCTATGTGGAACTCCAGAGTTCAACCTGTAAGTCTCATTCACTACTACTCAATAGGTAATCTCACTTTCTCAAAAATTAATTTTCATTTGAATTCTTTTACATTTGGGCAGATCTCAAGTGAAGAATTTTAGAAAGTGTTACAAAAGACCAGCAAGCTGATTTTTAAAGTTCAGGGCTTTGGAAGGTGAACAAGTTTCCATTGCACTGTTCAGTGTGTTTTGCCTCTGTCATCATCTAGTTACTTGGAAATCACTGGCTTTTACCTTTTAAAATGTCTCATAATATGCACAACTCCCAACTTGAGGTTTGAAAAGCCAAAGCTATCCTGACTTGTCTACAGACAAAAGCTGTTTTTGGGCATCTGGAGGAACATGTATCTGTAATGTTTTGCCTGTTTTTTGATGACCAAATAATATTTCCTTGGGAGATTAATATGAGTTGTGTTATTAATTTCAGTGGAAACAAGAGGCCCTTAAATTATCAGCTGTCTGCCTCAGGAGCTATCCCTGAGCTCAGCCTTACTTTGTACAATGCTGAGAAGAATGTGATTACTAAATGAGAAAAATATGTTTATTAAAATATTCCCAAGTTATATTAGTTTATGCAAAAGGATGATGGATATATTGCACTCCTGATTTTACTGTTTCAAGGAAAATCTCTGTCAAGTATTTTCTTGATTCCTGACAAAGCTCTAAATCCCTTTCAATCAGATATTTGTATTTGTCTCACTGGAATTTTTTCTTTTAGGAATTTTCAAAGTATTTCTGGAGGAACAATAGATTAATTGTAGTTTCTTCTCTGAGAGGTACTAGAGACTTGTACCCATTGATTCACAGGATAAGTTTCTAGATGTCCTGCGACTTGAACTTCTAATCTTCAACACTTTTTTTTTTTTTGAGTAGAGAAAGGAGAAAAAAAGTCTGTAGAAAAAGAGTAACCAAGGCAAACAAAGCTTAGCATGTTTGTTTTAGAAATGTTTCCTTAGATAGTATTTGCCACTGGAATGTTAACATTAGTCTTTAAACAAATAATGTTACTTTCCTCTCTACCTTTCATCACAAGCCTCAAGATCTATTCGGACCACTTACTTGATATTAAAACATTCATTGTGGGGAGAAAATGACAGCCTTCACCATGGCATTTAAGCCTGTGAGTAACTGTTAGGCTGGAGAGAATGATAAATGAGGTTTTTAGCTGAAGCAAATCGATCACAGAAGAGAGCAGCTCAGAGATTTCAGACTTTAATTGAGAGAAGACGGAAGAGTTCATTTTCATAATTTTCCCCCTCAAGGATTGACAAACAAATTGGGGGAAAAATACAAGTCCTAAAATATATAATATATATTGCTTATTTTATGTATATTGTTGAAGTCCCAGTGTGCTGCTCTGGGATTTGTACCAAAAGATTAAAAATGGTGCAGTTCTGTAGATCAAAAGCACACACAAAACATCTTCACTTCCCTGTCCCACACATATGCCATCACAAAGATGTTCATATTTGACATCCCAGTTCCCACCAGTACTTCCCAGCTGAGCATCCCAGATCATAAGTGCCTCAGTCATCTAACCCCACAACTTGTCAGCAATGTCACAAGTGGAGAGCCTGGGAAAAGTATATAAGTATATAAGGGGCATAGGCTATATAGGGGTATAAGTATATAAGCCTATAAGTATATAAGGGGTATATATAAGTGGTGTGCATGGGATCCTGTGACCCTAGCTGACTTCCTGCCCCTGGGGCAGGGGGCTGGACCCGATGATCTTCCAAGGTCCCTTCCAGCCCTAATGTCTATGAAGCCTATGAAAAGAGGTAAGTTTTACTGAATGTCCTGAAAAAAAACCCAATTTAAAACAAAAACCAAAAAATTAAAACAATAGTTAAAAGTATCCTAGCCCTCACAAGGCTTGTTTAGACCTTTTCCGATAACATCTGATGTAGTTTGGACTGGAAAATATACCAATGTGACCATCGATAAGAGCCAGGTTGTAAAAGGTGACTGAGTAACACCAGAGGAAGTTATCAACCTATTGTGTCGTGAAGAAAGCTACAAATACCCTATTCTATTAGAAGCTCAGTAGGAACAACCACATTTGGCAAGTTATTTCATCATTCAGCCTATGTCTGTAGAATATACTCAAGCCAAATTCCCCTTTCAGTAAATAAAAGTTGGCCTAAATAAAGAATTAGTCCCTGTGTATTGAAATGACAAAGCAAATTTATCTGCAGGTTAACTACATTTTCAGTTCCCGTTTTCTGACTGAACAGCCTCTCTTTCCTTGTCCCTTTTTTCCTTTATTTAATTTTTTAGACATTTTGCATACCATGAATGTTGAGATTAGCAAGGCAAATTCTGTTGTATTTGGGCAGTAAATAATATATCTGCTTCACAAATTGTCTGGCTTTTGATTTCTGCATTGCTAAGTAGTCGTTTCTAAGCTCAGAGCTCTTATAGTCACTACTCACCCATGTACTTCTTTGCCATAAATGGCATAAAAATAACAACTTGCCTTTTGTTGCATGTTAACGAAATTCACCGTGCTTTATTTTCACTGAAGATAAGCCTATGAGGCAATGTTCAGATTCATTTTTGGATTAGGTTTTGGCAGGGATTCAAGTCTAAGATAAGTCGAAGCTAACACTCAATGTTATGAAAATAACTTCTGTTGAGTTTGGGCCCAAACAGATTACTCTCTCAAGTTTCCAGTCTCTTCCAACCCCTACTCACAAAAGTAGCCCCAGTGAATTCAGTAAGTGAGGATTACTTACAACAGTGAGATTGTAGAGGCTTTCCTTCTAGTTTTGGATCTAATTTGTAACCTTGTAAACCTAAACTATAATCTAGGTATTCAACACTGAACAGGCATTGAAAATCCAAATAATCTAATTTTGGGCTATCTTTATATTTCAAGTTCCTTCCCAGAAGTGCAAAGGTATTAAAGCTTTTCAATAAAATGTTTTTAATTATTGTTTTTAAACATGGGCAACCCGCCCCCCCCTTCATTCTTAGAAATTCTCAGTTTTAGTTGAAACTTTACAAAACATTTTGCCTACTAGGCAGATATCCAGCATGAAAAATTTCAGCTAAATGATTAAAGTAAAAGAAATGTCTATGATACCTGAAAACATGAGTTTATAATGGAAAATGGTGGAAGCTGACATGGGATAACATTGCTTACTAAATACATTGGGGTAAACATGCGGACAGGGAGATGTGTTTAAGGTGACAGATAATATCAGATAGATAATCATCAGGTTCAGAGGGTAGTTGTCAATGATTCAATGTCTATTTGGCAGCCAGTATCAAATGGAGCACTCTAGAGGTTGGTCACGTGGCTGGTTTTGTTCAGTATTTTCATCAACCACCTGGAAAGTGAGATGGAGTTCACTCTCAGCAAGGTTGGAGAGGACACCAAGCTGTGGGGAGTAGTAGATACAATGGAGGGTAGGCCTAGGTTTCAGAGAGACCTCGACACATAGGAGAATTGGACCAGAAGAAAGCTCATGAGGTTAAATAAGGACAAGTGCAAAGTCCTGCACTTAGGATGTGACAATCCCATGGAGAGGCTGGGGACTGACTCACTAAGCAGCAGCTCTGCAGAAAAGGACCTGGGGGTTATAGTGAACAATAAGCAGAATATAAGCCAGCAGTGTGCCCTTGCTGTGAAGGCTAATGACATACTGGTTGCATTAATAGAAGCATTGTCAACAGGCCATAGCTAGTCATTCAAACCCTTAGAAGGTGATTTTAGCCATCAGACAAGTGAGTTTCTGGAGTTTCTGGAACAGTTCTCTAATGGGAGCAAGTTCCTTAGGAAGTTTCAAGGTGGGTCTCCATAAATGTATACAAGTGCTCATATAACTCAGTTGCTGGCAAATGTAAGGAACTGGATTTGATGATCCAGGAGGTCCTTCTAGTTCTATGATCCTGAGTACCTGGTTGCCATCTTTAGAGCTATATTGTTATGAACTGAAAAGGTCAGATGTGTACCCATACAGTTTGTGAGTGTTAGCATATGGGGGTTTAGTCTGGGTCTATTTCTAGCCAGAAAATGTAACATAGTGAAAGATGAACAAAATGGCAAGTTTGAGATTAAGATTATAGTTTCTAAAATCTAACGCTAGTCATTTCTTTGCCGTTGCTCTGCAATACTCTATGCAATGTTTGTTAATATGGAATTTTTGGAGGGTTGCAGATCACCAGGCAAGAAAAAGCTTCTAAGGTTAAAAGAGAACAGCAGTTAATATTACCTGTTAAATGGAGAACTATTCTGTGTTCAGCGTATATGGGATACAAAGCGAGCTACATAACATTTCCATGGAGTTCTAGCAGATGGAAAAGTGATTCTGAGATCATTTCAATACTTTACTGCTTGAGCTCAGTCAAAAGCTTTACAGCTGCAAATAATCCTTAAAATCAACACTCCCACTACAGTGCAACCATTCACAACAAACCACCAAGTGAAAATGTTTGTTCCCCTAATCAGCTGTCTCCCCTCAAAGAATGCTGGGCTTTATACAGGTGGGACAACATGATGTGTTACAAGTAACATCCTGGTAACACGTTGGTTCCCACATTGTGTTTACACATAGTATCTCAGTAGTTTATTCTCATTTCCACTGAATTTCAAATCTGACTCTCCCATCCAAGGCTCAGCATCCTTTCTTAACTTCAATTATGGGCTGATTTTGACTCCTTGGTCTTGGACTAATTCAGGAGTCACTCCACTGATGCCACTAGTATACCTAAGGTACGTTAAGTACATCCTTCATTCTTTCTCTGCTCCAAACTTTGGCCACAGCCCTCCCAGTCCTACAGTATCCAGCGTAAGACTTCAGTTATTCCTTTTCCTCCTTCCATATTTTGCTTGCATCTCACTGGATTTAATCCTTTTTCCATAGATCCACAACCCCCTCATCACCTCTACTGACAAAGCCAAACCACAAAACATGGCTTGCATTTGCAAAGATTTGGTGGTGTTAATTTGCATTGCTTGTGACTTATTCAAATAGGTTCTCCCATGACTAGTTGGTATCACTGTTTTTGCATAACTTCATGCAGTGTGTTAAATTCAAAACTGTTGTTTCAGTCAGATAGGCAGCAAGCTGCGTACACAAAGTTCATGTAGCCATCTTTCAAATTCTCTGTTATTTCCATCTTCTATTTTTATATTTATTGCCTATTAAACCCATTGGTGGATTTGTTCATTCAGTCAGATCCTACACTGCAGGCAGCCCCTGTGTCCCCACAGAGCCCCAGTGAAGTCAGGGAAACTGTGCATAGGTGTATGGGACTGTCCATTCATATCTGCTTACAAGAGTAGGTGTTTGGTTTGTAAGATCTTGAACTCTTGCCTCCTTTCAGGGATGGTCACTCATTTCAGTCTCAGATTTCCTATGTACCACAAGAAAAATTGGATTCCCTTCACTTCTATTGCTGAAAATTATTTACCTGAGTAACAAAGACTGATGAGATTGAGATTTAATAGAAGGTTATTTATACTATAAGAAGGAATCCCACTGCATCTTACCTCCCCTGAAGAAACAATTTTTGAATGTCCTCCATTTTGCATCTTCGTCTCACATTGCATTCCACATTTGGGCTATAGCTGATTGTGCAGTACTCAGTTTCTGTAAACTTTTTTGCTTACATTTTACTCCACTGATTCACTTTGACCAGGCCAAGTCACTTTGCCTGTCTACCTCAGAGTCCCCATCTGTAAAAATAAGGATAGTCTTAACTTGCCTTTCAAATGTGCTAGTAGTCTTCATGAGCTAAAATTGGTGGATCTGCTTTGAGAATGAAAACTATCAAAGGGGTGCTAAGAATTATTGATTCCTTATTCTTGGTATATTCCCTCAAGTGTCTGGAAAAAGACTGAATAAATTGTCACTCAGACACTTTTCTCCTTAACAAGCTTCAAAAGATATCCTTATATCAAATGTGAGATACAAATGAGATGAGCCCCTTGTGAGATTTTAAATTGACACCATTTAGATTGGTTCAAAATCCCTTCTGAATAGAACCCACCAATCTACCAACACTAAAATATGGATTATGGGTCTAAGTTATCATGGCTGTAAC